TCCGGAAATAAATGGACTTAACTATTGTTTAACACTTTTTAAAGCTGCTCGTGGAACAAAATCCTCTGAAACTGATTTTTGAAGAAATACTAGGTTTTGTCGTTCAGTTTGTTGATAGTAGCAGCCTCCTTTATCTCCGACGGATCTATTTGTATCGTGCAATCCGATGACGTAACTCTTCCTTGCTCTGTACCTGTTGCAAGTAATTTACAGTTCGCCATAAATACCCCTAAACATGTTTCCAAATTGATGGAAAAAGTGGCCTGCAATAGTCAAGATAGTTAAATAGATTTTTATTTGACTGGATTACAATACATATTATGCTTACAACATGTCAAAGTACAAAAGAGAAAAAAAAACAATTATATACATATACATACATACATACATGTAAAAACAAATAGGAATAAAAATTTTATCTTCTGTTTGTATTCCTCTACAGAGTACAAACAATGCTAAAAAAAAGGATTTTAATTATGCTTTTAGTGTATTTAAACTTCTTAGTTTTAGGCAAATTTGAGGAGGAAGTGGGGTATTCTATGGAATCTATTGAGTTTATCCACAGTGTAACAAGCATATGGCAAAATTGAATGAAAAAGAGCATAGTAGCTCGAGACCAGATAAACATTTTCCTATTAAATTTTTCAATCGTCGTAAAAAAAGTTGACACTGGAGAGTCGCTTTACTAAATAAGCAATATGGAAATATAAAATAACTAAAAGATTGTCACGAAATTATATATTTTTACATGACAATTGTTTCGACAACACCGTGTCTTTATCAAATGTGGCAATACGGTCTGTCATTTTGGTCCACATCCAACAACTTCGCTATGTTTGGTCGGATTGGTTGTAAACCACTTATGGGCCTGGTCTTTCGGCATCTGCAAAATTAACCTCAGCGACACGGTCCGTATACCCAAAGAGATCATTAATATAAACTATAAACCATAATGGACCCATAATGGAACCCTGTGGAACTCCGTGCATTACATTTCGTAAACTTGACATTTGATTACTGCAAAAAAACTGCCAACTTTTCCATTAAAATTGATTGACCCACACAGTCAAAGGCCTTGGAGAGGTCACACAGCGTCAAAGTGCTATGCTCATCATCCTCAAAGCTCCCAACTATGCCAGCGACCATACATAATAGTGCTTAGGTGATGGAAAGAATCTTTCTAAATCCACACTGGTTTGGATTTATCCAATTATTTGACTCAAAATAATAAAGATAATTGAGAATACATATTTTTTTCTGGAATATACTATTAAAATCCCCAACCAATCTATTTGAAAATAAATCTGATTATTATAATTTAAACATTGATGAGTAAGGAAAATGTAAAAAGTGGCAGTCTAGTACATGTAATAAATAATCTAACCAATCAGATTTCCAGTCAGTGACGTGCGGCGTTTGTCGATATTACATGTCGTGAGACAATATTGCCACTGAAAAAAATATTTTACCTACCTAATCGGTGAATACAAAATATATAAATATATTATAAACTGCGGAAGTAGTATCATATCCAGAAATATATAAACATTGTCCATGTTTGCTTTAAACAATAATAATACCATTACATCGATGTCTTCGTCGATCTTCCATCAATATAATTGGAAGTAACTTCCCCAGAGTCATTGGGAGCGGATAAAGTGCACTGTGGTGATTCATGTTCGATAGATAATATACAATTATTTTAAAAAGTTCTCCATCAACCAAAAATGTGAGGTGTGAGATTTGGTCTAAATCTGCGATTATAATGTGATTCAAAAAACATTTTTCCATAAAATTTTGGAGGAAAATATATATAAAAATGCAGCGTTTTTCCATTTCCTCGCCCGTATCCGAACCTCGATTTTTATGGCGGACTCTACACGGAATTTTTATTGATTCCGAAACTTTTCCGGTGTATGCATTTCGAAACGTATCGGGAATTCCCCATACGTGCATTTTCCATTCGAACCTGTCGATCTCACGTCAGGTTCTATGGCCATTTATTTACGGAAGTACGTCCGATCAAACGAAGCCCCCTAGTGTTGTATCATAAATATTTCGCAGGACTTCTTTTTGAAACATTTAAAATCCATCGCTTATAGAACTTTCCGAGATCTCGGAGAAGGTTTGAATAATTGCGAAGTTATGTTAAGTTATGTTATAGTCCGCTGTTCTTGGCCAAAATTTCTAAAAGTCAATTCTGGAAAGCGAACTTATGAGTAGTGCCACAATGACAACAAAATCTAAGGGTATCACAAATTATGAAGTTAAGATAAAGATAAAGTCAAGTTTTTGCTTGTTTTAATAAAAGCTTCATTCGTTTTTCGACTGCGATGTTTAGTGATCGCGATGAACCAGATTTGCTTTTTACAATGGAAATTACAAGCTCAGGTAAGCATATGAAAATTTTTACAAGAGACTGAAATATTTATATATATAATATCTCGGTAACGGTAGGTCCTATGGGATCGCGGTTGGTTGGTGCGGTGTCTTTTTGTCTGTTTGTCTTTTTTGGTTTTTCCTGAATAACTTTCGAACCGTCGGAGATACAAAAATTGAAATTTGCCTCCACAAGGCACATAAGTTTATGAGAAATGATCCTGATCCGACGCCGCTATCCATCTTTTTTTCGCGATTTTCGACTGTTTTTTGGACCTTGCTATGAAACACGATAAGTGTCCAAAATTTGAAGCAATAGGCTTCATATTTGGCACATACATGCAGCTTTGCCCCGTGACGGCACCTATTGAAAATGGGATGGGCTGGGGAGTCGGGAAGTATTCTAAAAAAATAAAAAATGCAAGTGCAGGGGTCTACAAAAAACATCATTTTTCAAAAACCATTTATGAGACCAAAATAATTCTTGAACCAGAAGAAGCAGAAGATACGGCTCTAGAAATCTTTATTTTTGACAATTTTTCAAAAATATACAGGGTGCGCTGCAAATTAAAAAAAAACTGATAAATGGGTCCCCTATTATTGAAAGTTGTTTATAACTGAAAGACTATCATTCAGATCTCACTTTCTTTTATATTTCGATATAGCCCGCATAGACAGCAATTTTTTTTGCATTTAAGGTTTTCACCTATTGTACGGGGTGTTCCCGATATTCCGTGCTAAATGAGAAGTGTGTTAAGTGTCCTAAGTTTGCAGATGTCAACTTCAAATTTAGCAGAGAAGTAAAAGTTTTAATAAACACATCAAAAGTTCTAAAGAAATATAACGTCAAAATCAGATTTACCACTTGTCCAAAAATCTCTGAACATCTTTGATCCGTCGAAGACAAAGGCATGATGGCAGGAGTTTACAGCATTCCATGCATATGCGGGAAAGAATACATTTGAGAGACCGGACGAAAAATATCAACTAGGCTCAAAGAACATGGAAGCGCCTTAAAACTAAGACAAGTAAACTCATCAGCAGTTGCTGAACACAATCACGAAATAAATTCTTATACCAACGAAAAATCTGAGAGCCTATAGAAATCTATAAGCAACCTAACAATCTTAACCACGACTCAGATCTTTACCTGTCACCAATATGGGAATCAGTCATCCGAGACGATGTTTGTTCCCCTCATTTAGCTCCGCCCCCATCAAACAATATAAAAGCAGGTACACAGTAAAATGCCAGCCAGTTTCAGTCAAGCTCTGAAGAAGCAAACACTATGATTGGCGAAACGTTAGCTAGTTCGGGTCAACAAAAACCGACGAGGGAGAAATCAAGAAGTTTTATGAAAAGTATTACTCCTGTGGAATGTTTGTTTATGACTCAATTTTTATAATTCTTTTTTGTTGAATAGATTTCACTGAAAGACACTAAGGATTTGCTTAAAATTAAATAAGATTAAAGAGGATTAGATATGGACTAGGCAGACTTTAATTAAAAAAGGTTTCTATTTCTCATCTAATAATGAAAATAACATAACCTTTCGTTTGTAAAACCACGTTTGCCGTGGAGGAGCGAATATGCGACAGTCGAATTCACTCGCTAATTTATATTTTAATTTTGTTTACATTATATCTTTCGAATACTAAGATTTATTATTGCTGTTGTTTTAAGATTATAATATAAATTGAATGTCCCTTGTTGTCATTTTCAATTTGAAAAAATCTCTGAGAGCACTTCTCGATTTTCCTCTTCAAAAAACTGTGTCAGATATCCACGAACTTAGTTGATGCTATACGAAAAAACTGTTTCATTTCAACAAAAAAGAATTATTAACATTAAGTCATAAACAAACATTCTACGGGAGTAATGCTTAAGTCGACTTCATAGGGATTAGTAAAGTTAGGGTTTATGTAGTCCTGAATAAGAATTCTTTAACACTACATTTGACATCAAAAATTAGTCCCAGTTAACAAGTACTTTAGGTTGATGTAGATAAAAACGTAAGGTAAAGTTATCAAAATCAAACTATTATCAAAGATTTTACAAAAACCCTGTATTTAGTCATTTTAAAAATTGGTATAGTTGAGTTCTAAGTACTCCTGTACTCTCTTTTGTTAAATAGTCCCAGTTTTAGAGCATTTTTCAGTGAATTGTCCAACAAAAACAAAATTATCAAAATCGTTCCGAAAACAAAGATTTCACAACGGTGTACAGTTCTTAAATGGGACACACCGTGTATGTCGTGCGGAAGTTCTTCATTGCCCATCCTAATTTGTATACCTGAAGGGGCAGCTTCGTGGAAATGTATACCGTTAAGTCATTCTATTAGCTTAAGTTAAACCGTATAGGATTATTGTTCGCCACAGCTTACGCTCTCAAATTTATGCAACCCATTATGCTATAGTTAATTGCTTTAACCCCTAATCTAATCTGTGTAGCTCTGCCGTTTTAGTCCGTATCGGCTCGTTCCGTATTAAGGGCTCGATAAAACCCATTTCTTTTTGGTAATCACGGTCTCAATAATTTCCGACTCACAGATCATGAATTGGTAACAAAATGAAAACGTAATTGGCTTAGAAATTAATGCTGTGTATTTTCTTTTGTTTCAGGTCTTAGGATACGAATAGCTAATCTATTTTTAAAGCTACTTACATGCGCTTTGTACATAATAAGGGTTATCACCGATCTCGACCCCACTTACGCAACATGGTAAGTATGCAAGCATTATCTTCTCAATCGCAGTAATTGGCGACTCGAATCACATAATTTTTGTTCCTATTAAGGCCTTGGAATATTTTTATCGTAGAACTGGAACATTTCCATTTAATAATAGGAGAAATAAAGGATATTTTACTGACGCCGTTTAAAATGGAACAACACGTTGTGAAATAGTGCATAGTGAACATTAAAAAAATCATCGAAATTAAAGAACTTTATTGCTGTTTTATTTTAAACCTATTGGTACAATGCAGACATTTTTATTAGTTATTTTAAGGTATGGTAAAAAAAACACTTGTCTTCATTCTAATGAGCAAGTAAAAATATTTCTAAAAGAATTAATATCGGTCGATAGTTCATAATATCAATATTATTGCCACTCTTATGAACAGATACTGCTTTGATACATTTCCATATAGTCGGGAAGTACGCTTCTGAGAAATTTTTATTAAAGATTAATGTTAATTAAAAACAAGGAAGCTAATAGTAACACCGGTCAACACGATTTATTGGTCTGAATCCAACATGTTAAATTTCAGTTTCTCTTTCACCAAAAACGAAAGAAATTTTTCATTTTTCATTTTTTTTTTTTTAGTTTTGGTTAGTATTGGTAAGAAACGTTTTTTTAGACATGAGTGTCTTTTTTATTCAAAAGTGTTAAATAAGTGCCCAAAAATCAATATTTTTCGGATTTGCTTTATGTTTGTATCGGCTTTCTCTAATTAAACTCCAAATATATTAGACACATTGAAAAATTTTAAACAAATCTCATTACTCTCCAGTCGATTCACACGTTACATATACATCCTCAGCCTATCGGAACAATGCAAACATTTTTGTCATTTTTGTTGAGCAAGTAAAAATGTTCCTAAAAGAATTAATTAAATTAATTAAACTTTTATTAAAGATTACAAATATTATTTCGTTGTTTATTGTTAATTAAAAACACGGAAGCTAAAAGTAACACCGCTCAGGACGATTCTACATATGAAATTTCAGTTTCTCTTACACTAAAAACAAGAAAAAAAATATTTTTTTTAAATTAAACTTTCAAAATAAATAAGAAGTAAAAGTTCGGAATTTCACGAAATTATATATTTTCACATGACAATTGTTCTTAGACGAGATTTTTATGGATAATTTGGAGAATATCATACTAGGACATCCTTTAAGTAAAAGTTTTCTATGATGGTATAAATACATGGATGATGTCTTGGATGATGTCTTTGCTTGCTTTGTTGGACTGGAAAGACAATTGAATTTTTTTTAAATTACATTAACTCATTACATCTTCATATAAAATTCACTATCGAGATTGAATAGGATAACTCTATTCATTTTTTGGACTTAACTATTACGAAAGCTGAAAGAAAATTTGATTTTTTCATTTACTATCAACCTTCACACACGGACACAATCATACATAACAGCTCAAATCACCCTTATACACACAACATGGCTGCATTTAACTCTTTTGTACACAGACTTCTTAATACGCCACTCTTAACAGAAAATTACAACAAAGAACTATAAAAATAAAATTATAAATAAAAGACAAACCCAGAAACTCTATCCGAAACCTAATACAGAACACGATCAATTTAAAACAATTACGTGCATTGGAGAACCCAATAAAAAAATTTCAAAACATTTGTCAAAATATGGTTTAAAAATTGCTTTCAGAACTAACAACACAATAGGATCTAAAAAAAAAAAACAATAAAACGAAATGTCCATCAATCTCAAAAATCAGGTGTCTACAGGTTGAAATGCGGATCTTGTCCAAAAATGTATATTGAACAAACAGGTAGATCCTTCAAGAAACGTATTAACGAACATAAAAGCGCGTTTTAACAACAATAGTCTAGATTCTAATTATGCTACACACTTAAACACAGAAAAACACATTTTTGACGACAATTTTGATATTTTACATACAGCCACAAAAAGTAGAAAATTAAATTTGTTGGAAGCCATGGAAATTAACAAAATGAGACACTCAAATGTCAACGATCAATTAGATTTAAATACCTCTCCATTATTAAACTTAAATTTTCATAATAATATTAATTAAGTTTTTTTTGTCATTTTTCGGTACATATAGTAGCAGGTAATTTGTAAATATATAATTTCGTGAAAATCTGAACTTTTAGTTCTTCAAGTAAAAGCTACCTCAGTTCAATTAAATTTTCCTTTTCTGCGAAAATCACCATATTTTACGTTTTTTTTTTATTATTGAGCTTTAAGTTATGCTAAGAACCATTTTTTTAAATATCAGTGTCTACTGCTACTACTGCTTTAAAACTTTTCACAAGCATTAAGAAGCTTGTCCGTTTTATTTGGGGCCCAACGAAGATACCCCTTTTAACTTTAGCTTCAGATAACTTTGGATTTTTTTTTCTGAAATGTAACTTTATATCTAATCTCCGCATCTAGTACATTTTGAGGCATCATATAGCCTTCTTCTCTTCCGACTTTATGTTAAGTTTTCCAATATGAGATTCGACTCGATCAGACGCTGTTGACAATGTATTTATGTATTGCATTCCCCTCAGAAAACCGACCATTTTTATATCACCGATCATTGGCCATTGGTATTCTGTGTATTTCAATTTTCTAGTATTATTTCCACGCTGTCGTAGCATGCTTTCAATAATACAGAATGCTCTAGATGAAGACTAGGCAATTCAATTCCGTTGTGAAGCAGAACTGCTTTTAAAATTTTTTGAAGAGCTTTCGATATAAAGCCGCCAGTCAGATGCTCCGACTCCATCATTCAATTTACTTGGACTGATAAAATGTGGCCCAAAACATTATGATTTTATCATGAACTTGCCACTATCAGTGTTGGTTAATGATGTACTGGATTTGTTGAACTTTGTGATGCTTGAACATCAGAGAGTGATAGCACAGGAAAACTTTCATCATGTGATATCGGAGCTGATTTCGAAAAATAATTGTCAAATTTCAGAATTTTCACTATATCGACGCCTGCTTGTTAACTGACATGGAAGTGATTACTATGTTCCCTCCAAAGCCTTGGGACCGCAAACTTTATACGTCGGTTTTTTCTTTTGTTTATTATCTTCTAAAATATTTTTAATTTTTAATGCAGGTAAAGTGTGGTACCCACTTGTGATCCTGTTTACTGATTTTTAGATTAAAAAAGGCTTCATAGGCTTCGTAAAGTTTAAAATCCACAAAAAAAAACAAAATTAACCAACATATTTACACTGTCTTGGTGCCACCTTCTCATTGAGTAATACAAAATACAGCTGAAATAGACCAATTACTTCTAAGTTTGATGTTACAAATAATAAAACACTTTGTTTTTAGGTCAGTCAAGTGGCTTATAAAGTAAACTTTTTGAACCAAAATGGAAATTTCAGCGTTTTCCAATATATCAGAATTTTCCCAAAAACTTTTTTTTGTTGATCAGATTTTAACCATAAAAAGCGCGTATAAGGGCACATGTTTTTTTTTAAATCTGTAATGTTGAATATCAGCCAAATAATTGTTACTAAAAATGATAAGATAAAAAAAGTCAGACGTTTTTATATTTTTAATTTTAGCTTTATTCGTACTAACACAATTTATTGTTCTAAAAAAACTAACCGAAGATTAGTTCCTCACAGAGGTTTTTAAAATGGTTTAAAATGCTACGGCACATCAAAGTTATATATGTTTATTCATCTAATAAAATGAGGAAACTCAATTAAAAGTTTTATCAGCTACGGTAAATTGTGAACCTGCATATGTTAAAAACTTTTAAGTTAAATATTGAATAATAAAAATAACGCGGAACTGTATATTAAAAAAAACAAATGATGTTCTACTTTTTCCAAAACTCCTGGATTCCTTCTGAGTCGAAATTGCTGACGTTTCGCCAGCCACCCTGCTGGCTTCTTCAGAGCTTGAGTTTCAGCCAAGCTCTGAAAAAGCATCGCATGCATCTGATGCTGGAAAAGTTTGTAGCTTCTTAATTACTTAAGAAATAATTTGATTTTTCAATTTTTGGACAGAGCGAGAGAAAATTTCCAGTTCAGCAGTGTCTCACAAGTTCACAAAAGATTTGATCACATTTCGTAATGGACGGCTTTGACTTTGAGGTTATGTAATTTAAAGTGCCAAAGTTGTATTTGAATAATTAGTACGTTTTCTCTTATAAATATCGTAACTGCGATACTATTCAAGTCAGGAGCTTCATCAGTTGGCAGTTTGACAACAAAAATATCTTATTAATTGGTTGGATATCTTGGCCTTGTAAATCCCCTAACCTTCCGCCCTTGGATTTCTTCCTTTGGCGGTCACATCCTCCCGAGATGATAGAAATATTGAGACAAAGAGTTCCCGACACATTTAGAGTCCTACTTGCAAGAGGGCTTTAACGGAGTAGTGATAAGAATAAAATAAACTAATGATCCATGCTCAAAATATTGGTCTTCATTTAAATTAACTATAAACAAAGAAGATACGGACTCATTCAACTTAAGCCTTTATTTGTTTAAAGGAAATGTATAGAAAATTTTGTAATATTCTTTTAATTACTGACCATCTTTTAATAATTGGACAGCCTAGTCTGCCTGCTCATTAATTTTTGGGTTTATAAATAAATAAATAAATCTTGAATCTCATTATCACCACAATCACTCTGAAATGAGGTTCGTAGGGTGTTAAGTTGTTGTTATATTTCAACTAATTCTTTTAGGTCTGAAATAGTATATGGTGCAACAAGTGCGGTAAACGGAATTTGACTCACTAGTTTATTTGACACGAGCGGAGCGCAGCGGAGCGAGTTTTTAATAAACGAGTGAGTTAAAAAGTTTACCGAACGTGTTGCATACTATGCTTTTTCTACGACCGTTAGTTCTTGGGTACATTTTCGCAAAACAACACGAATACATTCGCTGACATGACCGTCAGAATTCACAAACGTCAAAATTCAAGGCGTGGGAAAACATCCGATTGCTCCAAAACCCGTGCGGTAAAATTACGGAAATGGCCGAAGTGGCTCGGATTTATGGTAAAGTGACGCTTCCCGCACGCTAGATCGGTGGGTAATTACGTATTTTACAGACGGGAGTAGCAAAAAGATATTGAGAAATCAAATGTAGAGCGATATCCTCAAAACCAATAGTCGTTTAACGCGTATATGGAAATTGTTGCAAAATATACAGTTTTACAACACCTGCTGGTGTTGTAAAACCATTAATACCATTAATACCAAATAAATACCATTGAGACTGGCCACATTAAATTATTTGGTTCATGTTGCCCATAGAAATTTAATGAAATTTTCTTGTATTTTTTTTATATCTTGTTATTGTTTTTTTTTATTTACAAGTTACGGCTGTGTACCAGGAAACAAGACGGAATATATCCTGTCTGCCAACCTAACCGAAGAAAAATTCCAAGAAAATCCGATCATAAACTGGGACGCGATTCTGTGGGTGAACCGCCCCCTGGAATTGTGGATCGTGCAGGTGATATTGGCCATCATCAGTCTTAGCGAGGCCCTTTTGTTGGCTTACCTCGGATATAAGGTTTGGAACGTCATTTTCTATTACCTTCGCTTTTATTTTTGTTTTTTGCACTTGCGTTAGAGGGAGTATGATAAGTAAAAATCAAAATATTATTGTACGGGGCAGTTTCTTTCCTTTCAGTTCAAAGGCAGGGTTATTGGAATATAGGACATTTTTTCTTAATATATTTTTTTATAAAAGCATTGAATTACCACATGTTTCTTGCTACTGTTAATTTTTAAAATCCTGTGGAGAGCAACAACACGGTTATGCACCTTGTATGCATAAGATGGATCTTCGGACATCGCCTTATCTCAGAAACTATATTCAATGGTGCCAAAAGTTAAATGCAAAAGTTAATTGGGGTATTACAAGCCTTCAATTTATTTTGATGTTGTATAAACAGGGTGTTTCATTTTTCGTGGGCGAGTATCGACGTTTTTTTAATTTAAATAAATCGTATTGTGTATAATGTCCTATACCTAAGTCTAACCGTCTGCAAAGCTTAAAATATCTGCCCATTGCTTCATTCGGAAGCATTTATTGTTTCAATAATAAATTTCCATACATAATAATACCGGGTACTCGAAAAACAATATTAAAAATGAAATTAAAAAAATTGCCAGACACTTTCTTTTTTTTATGGAAACTACCTATTTTTATAATCTTTTCATATTTAACAATTATTTAAAGCAATTTTATATTTGCCTAATATTTTGACTCTCTGAAACATTTTCTTTTAAGCATTTGTCACAGATAATATGCTATAGCCGTATAAGTTCAGTTAGTGTAAGGTGCGTATTATATTTACCACATATAAAAAAAAAGATTAATATGATAGAAAGTTACATATCGTACAATAAAAACCGCTCTCCGGCTCTTAGAGATCATATTAGAAAATTTCCATTAAGGAGCCGCCCAGAAAAAAGATCTTCGACGGGATTTACTGACACTTTAGAATATATGGAACTTTGAAGAAAAAGAAAGAAAAAAATAGACGTCGTCATATTTTCATAATGAAGAGCAACTTATTATTTTGTTGCAGTTTGCAGGGACCCCTGAATCTGTTAGAAATGCGATTATGTATTTAAAAGCTATACTGCTTGTATTGCTCAAAGGGCCGGATATATTAAACAACTATTTCAATAATTATTATCCTTTGTAAGGTATTAATTTTTTATTTATCGTTCATTGACAAAAAAAATCACCAACGTTCTCGCCAATCCTTGGCCTTATATTGTATATCTTTGGGTATTCATAAACGCATCGGCAGAAGATTATGGTCATAGTGGCAGCACTTTAGCACTTCTTTTGTTTACACTTTACACTAACTAAACTGTTTAAATGTTTGAAAGGAAATATTTTAAAAAGTAAGAATATTGGGCATACAACTTCCTAACTCAATTTCGTCGTTAAACTGCCGTTCACGTAAGTCCTTTTCCAAATATCCAAACAAATAATAATCGCTGGGGGTCATATCTGGACTATAGGGAGGATGATCTATCTGTTTAAACTGCAAAAGACGCATGCCTCTGGTTAGTAGTTTTACAGGTATGCAGTCTCGCAATTTATGTAATAATGTTGCGTAATATATACCATTGGCAGTGGTGCTAGTTTCTTTAAAATCTATCAAAAAAATTCCTTCACAATCCCAAAAGATCGTGGCCATCACCTTTTTTGTTGACTGACAGACTCTGAATTTTCTTGGAGGTGCTTCACCCTTACGACGCCACTCCATTGATTCTTTTTTCGATAGAGGGTCATAATAGAGAACCCTAGTTTCATCTCCCATCACAATAGTTTTTATCACAGGTTTCGGTTCCGACTCACAGAGTTCCAAAAAAGACTCGACACGGCGTTGTTTTTGAATAGCCGAAAGGTTTTTAGGAACCCATCTTGCACTAACCTTATGCATACCTAAATGATCATGCAGGATTCGACGAACACTTGAATCAGAAAGCTTAGTAATTTCTGACATTTCCTTGACCTTTAAGCGTCGATCACTCAATACCACCTCTTTCACAATTGCAACAATATCTTCCGTTATGACCTCCACTGGTTGACCAGTTCTTGAATCATCTTCAAGAACGAAGGAGAACTTTGGTCGTACACACCATCCAGCCTTTTTTCAATAATTTTAATAATAAAACTATTAACAATAAAAAACTATTTGACGCAAGACTTCAATTTTTTTTTCGCAGCCTACTAAGATATGTATTTCAAAGAAGACAACGTTTTATCGCTAACCTCGTACGTCTTGCAATTGTCATTTTTCGCAGAAACAGTTAAACTTAGGTATAGGACATTATACGCAAAACATGTCTAGAATTTTAAAAAATGAAGTAGTATACCAGGTGTTCCATTTAAAATAAGGAAGTTGAGACTCGCCCACGAAAAATGAAACACCCTGTATATACAAAATTAAAATAAATTAAAGGATTGTTATACCCCAATTTAATTTTGTGTTTAACTTTTGACTCCATCCCTTATAGTTTCTGAAATAAGCTAGTGTCCTAAGATAAACGGTCAACTGTATACGAATATATGTCAATAATTGCCAATAAAAATATTTTATAAAATTGTCAGACAATTGAATTTTGAATTTTTAGAACTTGTTGATTTAACTTAAACGATTTTGATATTTGTTTATTCGATAAATTTCGGAGGAATCCATTACGAACATCGTTTACCTGAAATTAAACGAGAAATCCTTTTTTACCGAGTATTAAACCAACGTAATTTGACATTTCAAACAAACAACATTAACCCGTAAGTAACTAATGTCCCGTTTAGAAGCTCTATATCATCCACATAGGCGACTTCATAATACATGACTCTTGTCGGAAGCAAATCTATATTTGATAGCTCTGTTTTCGAAGGGTTACTTGGTTACTTTTTGTATTTTATAGTTTCAGCGGTAGGGGGGGGTGTTTAATGTCATTTCTAATTTATTATAGTATATATATTTGTAAATTGTGAGGTACGTAGCTTAGTATTAGATACATTTAACTCGCAACACACAGTACAGAAAATTGAATTTCTATTAAAACCGTCCGACGAAAAGTCGCATTAGGTGAGAATTTTCTCAAACAACAATAAACAAAAATTTTAACAGTGTATGAAGAGAATTGGAATGATGTATATAAGGTCCGAGCACAAAGCGTTAATGGTCTAATTTTTTTTTAATTTGGCAGATCTTTCAATTATTATTTTCCGTTGAAGTTGATAAATAAAAGAAAAAATCACTCTCTTAGAAATAACCCGCAAGTTATAGATATTAAAAATATACTAAACATTTTACTGGTGCTCTCTAGAAATGATGCTAACCTTAAATCGCACTATAACCAAACAAAAAAAAGAATATGACAAACCCTTAAAAACATCCAGAGCTGAAGAATACAGACAGAAGATTGAATGTTCGGATAATTATACAAAATGTATGTGATCAATTTTCAATTACGTTTTAGGTAAAAACAACAACAGTCATCTTCAAATGCAAGATGATCCTACGGAAGTAGCAAATCGTTATAATGAGTATTTATTATCAATTATTCCAGATTTAATCAAACAATCAGAGCCCAAACAATTCAAGTGTAAATTACCAGTTAACAACCAAACAATGTTCCTCAGACCGGTGTCACCAGATGAAGTTACTGAAATAGCAAATAAAAAAAAATACCTACAAGCATAGTTAAATTATCAGTGCCCTATATTAATAATGTTCTTAGTCATTTATTAAACAACAGTTTCAAATATGGAATTTTTCCAGATCAATTAAAAAGAGCTGTAATCAAGCCATTATATAGGAAGGGTCACCCAGAAGAAGTGGGTAATTATAGACCAATCAGTCTTCTCTCTGGTTTTTTAAAAATATTTTAAGTAACAGTATGTGGCAGATGGTAGATTTCTTCATGGACTGTAACTTGTTTAGAGACCATCAGCATTAATATACGTCTGGTAAATCCACCGAAACTGAACTTTTTAAGTTTACTAAAATAATTCTATAACATATCGAAAATGACGGTATGTCACTTGGCATTTTTTTGGATTTGTCAAAGGATGGCATCGACAGGGATCTACTCGTTACAAAATTAGGACACGTGCTCGAACTGTTTAGATCCTATGTATCGTATGTAAGTGCAATTACAAACAATAGATTTCAACTATTTTAGTATGATTTTATTTATTATTTTTTATCGATTTAGTTCTGATAACATGATAAATAAATGAAAAAACAGTAAAATACCTACAAGTTAATAACCAAAATTATTATTGCAATTAACTACATAATAAGACATTTCAAAAATTTTGTTCAAAATTATGTCCATCTGCTCGAACACAACTATCAAAAACTTTTAACAGATGAGCTTGGGTCACTTGTAGGAGAGTCCTTCTTGTGATAGCGGCACACGCTGCACTAATTTTGTTAATGAGATCAGCCATATCTTCGATAGGTTCTTCATAGATAACGTTTTTTAGGTAGCCCCAAAGAAAATAATCTGGTGGTGTAATGTCCGGGGACCTCGCCGGCCACCTTACCGGTCCAATAGTACCAAACCATCTATTGGGATATTCTCGGTTCAAATACCTCGTTACTATTTGGGAATTATGTGCAGGCGCTCCATCCTGCTGTAGCCACATATTCATTCTAGTGTCAAGAGGCACTTCTTCTAATAGTTCCGGAAGTGTAGTTTGAAGAAATCTTAAATAGCGATCTGCATTTAAAGTTCCTTCGTAAAAGTAAGGTCCAATAAGGAATCCATTTAATATGCCGCACCAAACATTGATACTAAAAATTCGTTGGTTACCTATTTCTGTAATCCAACGAGGATGGTTTTCGGACCAAAAACGACAGTTGTGTCTATTAACGATTCCATTATTTTGAAATCGACTTTCGTCGCTCCATAAAATTTTCGAGAGAAAATTTGCATCTTGGCTATACAAATCGGACAATGTCGCTAAGAAATACATTCTTCTAGCATAATCGCCTGGTTCTAGTTTATGAACTAGTTTACTTTTGT